TGAGCTCAAATAGAATTATCAATAGATTGTAGTTAAACTTACTATGTAGAAAAAAACTTAAAATACATGCCAGTTAAAATGCCAAAACTAATTTTTGCATCTGACAGTAATATAAGTTTTAGGATTTTTTGCATCTGACAGTAATATAAGTTTTAGGAAAATCAGTGTTTGAAACAACTTATGTCTGTGAGCAAACATTTTCAAAAATGAAGTCTGTAAAGTCAGAACATTGAACAAAGTTGGCTGATGAACATTTGAAAGCAATTCTCTTGGTTGGATGGAGCAATTCCAAAGCAAATATTGATTATATCTTAAAAGGTAAATGCTAGTTTCATAAATCTCACTAAGATTTTTTTTTTTTTGCTGCTTAGTTTGTGAAATTTGGATACTTGCACATTGCATGTGATATAAACTATTTTTTGCTGATGTTGCCTTATTTGATAACTTTTTGGTAAACAAATATGTTTGTTTTCTTTATTTTTTGTATAGTTAATGTATTGTATTGAACAAAATAATCATCTAGCCTGTGCTCATCATTCTTTCAGTTAGCTGGCCTTTTGTGAAAAAAGCTTGGTGACCCCTGACCTAGACTAACTCCCACCTAAATTTAGGGATCCCAGTCAGCCCTGCTGTTTAACCATTGTACAGAATTCTGTTCTTTATTGTATGTGAATTGCCATGACTTCTTGGAAAAAATAATGGAGTAGTTTCATGTTAGTTCCTCCAAGGTTTTAAATTCAGGGATTTCCTTCTCTTAGACTGGCTGTTGCTCAAGGCTAGAGAGATTAGTCTACCCTACTATTTAACCAATTTCTTTTTAATAAATGCAATGATCCTTCATGGCATTGGTGATCATGACTCTCCACAGATTCCATTTCTTTATTAATTGGGAATTGCTATGCTTACTGAAGAAACATAGGAGAGTGGTTTCCTTCTCTACAAATGGACTTCATAGTTTTCTTTCTCTTAGACTGACTACTGCCAAAGTTTACAGAGCCCAGTCAACCCATAGCTGATTAACTCATAGCTGGGGAGAAAAAAGCAAATTTAAGTCTTTTGCATCGGTAATGGTAATATTAACCTTTTCCTTATAAGGAAACATTCAGCATTCATTGACCAAGCAGCCAGTGCTACTCAAGTAAGGCTTTTCTTTACTTCTTGACCATTGAGCTGGGATCAAAGTGTAGTATCTGTTCTCCTCATTTCTAATGATAATATTTGCCGTTTCTTTATAAGGAAACATTCAGCATTCATTAGCCAAGCAGCCAGTAGTACTTTAGGTTGATATTTATAAAATCTTTCTCTTAAAGCAATTTTTCAGGAAAATAGATTTCTCAAGTCTGTTGTCACTCTTTCTCGTATTGATGGGAGTTTCCTTCCTAACTTTTTGTTTGAAGTGTGGAATATTGACATCTTGATTATACCATTATTTTCTCTTTGAGTTACATATGATATTCACTTTAGCTGTTGCTAAGTTCTCAGGTGATATGGTTTCTGTAAATCTGGTACATTTCTTTGTGATTGTGTAGCACCAATCTACTAGGTTCAAAAAAAGGATTGTCTTAGCCAAGACTTCACTTGTCCATAGCCATTTTTAATTGTTGATCTGAGAAGATGGTTGGGTGCAGTTAGCATTTTAGACATTTCTGAATGGATTGGATGCCATAAATGATATTCATATGAAAGCTTTGATCTGACAAAGCTACTTAAGATCATTAATCAAGCTTTTAGGTTAATATTTCAGTTTTGTAGCAACTTGTGGTATTGGGAGAAACTACCCCAAGTGCAGACTATTCAATATTCACTTTCCTTATCACCTATACTAAATTTGTTATAACTGATTCATAGACTGAGGTATTTAAAGTGTTTTGTATTTACTAATAGCACATCTTGGATATTTTACGATGGATTCTATTACTGCTTTTGTTCCAATTAAAGATTGTAGCTTTTGTTTTGGAAAGGTTTATCATGAGTCCTACTTCTTGGAATACTTGATAAAGGATTCTTCTTTTCTATTCAAGATCATTCTTATGACAATTATGAATATAGGATGACTAGGTGCTGTAAGTGTGGATGTGCAGGTGGTGTAATGGATAACAGCTCAGAAGTGGAAGTCAGAGAAACAAGTTCCAATTCATTATATTCATTTACACACAAATACTTCTGGGAAAGGTATGAATCCACATCTTAACCCCCAGCTATGGGTTAATTAGCAGGACTCATATTAAAAATCATTATTATCTCCAAAAAAAATCTTTCAATCTAAAAAATGTTTTCTGGCTTTAAATAACCGGCAAAGGGTTGATAAACTATAAAATACAAATCAATCAAACAGTTATGAATACCTATATCACCAAGACAGACTGGGTTCTATAGCTTTGGGTGGCAGCAAGTCTAGAAGAAGGAAACTGAATTCAAAGAACCTCCAACTATAGATAAATAGCAGGACAGACTAGGTTCTATAGACATGGATGGTAATCATCCTAAGAGAAGGAAAATGTCTCAATTCACAACCTCCAATTATGGTTAAATAGAGGGCAGTCTGGGCTCTGAAGCCATCGTTGGCAACTAGACTAGGAGAAGAACAACTTTGAATTCAAATCCAGAGTCCCTAAGATGTTTTACTGTCATTCTGGCAACTCCTGCGATGAAGCTGGTCCCAAGCTGTATTGGCCTCTGCCTTTCACTTGGACAACATCGATGCCATAAAGTGGGGAAGACGTGCTGCATAGGCAACTGCTGATCTATCATAAAAAAAAAAAACCCTTTGCCCTGGGGAGGGCATAAGTCTTCAGATACAGATCCATGGTCTCCTGAGACCAACATATGGTGTAATATGTCATCACTATAGCCCCTCCCCCACCCTTCAGGTATCATCAACAGCTTTGCCAGTGTCACTTTCAGTGCCAATATCTGTTAGATGACTGGCACATCTATTAAAAATAATAGTGAATTCAATCTTAGAACGACAAACTCATTGATTAAGTGTTTGTCATTTTTTTTGTGATGTCAATGAACACTTGTTGTAGTAGAGACTTTGTAATCACAGATACAACTATAATACGCCGTTGAACAATGCTGGCGACAGATGCTTTTGAATAACACTCGCACTAATAGTACTTGCTCAATAATACTCACTTGAAAAGTAACCACCATATAGTGATCCAAATAGAGAAATAATATAGTGAATAGAGTAGAGAATAGCGGTCCGAATAGCAATAGAGGATAGAATAGATATAGTGATCCTTTAGATGTCACATGACTTCCTACTTATGCATTTCCTCTATGGTCTACTTAATTCAATAATGGGATCGCCTGTGTTTGCTTACTGGCAATCTATGTTTGAACTCAAGTGTTGGCAGCGAAACTTTATTACTATATAACACATTTTTAAACCAATCACAATGCAGGAAAACTGACTTTTTCAACCAATCACAATGCAAAACACTAGCAGGAAAAAATGAAAAGGCAGATTCCACTTCACAAGCAAAAAATGGCGAATAACCAAAGAATAGAATCACATAAAGTTATAATTAAATAAAAACAATAAATATTTTCTTTTGTTATGGAAAAAAAAACAAATAAACAACACTGTACAAGCAATACAATACACAATATCATTTTGAATACAACACAAAATTAAATTTCACAAAGCACTTAAACAATAAAATGAAAACAAAAATAAAAGAATTATATAGAAAAACAAAAAAAAAAATAATTCCACTAATAATGAAAATGTGATGTTTTTGGATCCTTCTCATGAACATCAATTTTGAAGAATATGAAATAACTATTTTTGAGAGAGATTAAAGCCATCCCCAAATTCTAAATTCATTAAATTTCACAAAATATTTTTAAAAACAAAAAATATATAAATAAAAACAAAACATATACCGTCTTTTCCGGCCTGGAAGATGCACCCTAATATTGGAAAGAAATTTCTTTAAAAAAAAAAAAAAAAAAAAAAAAAGTCATACTCATACAACAACACATTCACCAAGCGTACCTCAAATACTGGCATCACATATTGTTTACATTAATCACTCGTCTGATTTTGTTTGTATGACAATGACATACTAGTCAAGAGCAGAAAGGCTCCTATCACTATGTAGCAAAAAAAGAATAGTAAGATTTATGAAACTAGCATTTACCTTTTTAAGATATAATCAATATTTGCTTTGGAATTACTCCATCCAACCAAGAAAATTGTTTTCATCGGCCAACCTCAAAAGTTGTTGCAAACACTGATTTTCCTAAAACTTATATTACTGTCAGATGCAAAAATCAGTTTGACCAAATTTTTAACTTACATCTATTTTAAGTTTTTTTTCTACATAGTAAGTTTGACTACACTCTATTGATAATTCCAGAGCATGATTAAGCTTGTGGCTTGGCTCCAGGAAGGTTTATAGTCTTGGAAATACTTGTAACAGCTAAGTGCTGAATTTACATCAAATAAAAGGCTGAATTAGATAGCTAACATTATAGTGTAATGACTCAACATACAAATCCACGTCCCTATCAGTCAAGCCAACTAGGTGACCATCCAAGCTTACTTGAGCCTGGGTATTGCCTCATATTTGTCTTGGAAGACATATTTTTCAGGGTATTTTTTAGGAAAAGAGTGCGTCTTGTAAGCCGGAAAATACAGTATCAATTAGCTGTAAAAAACAAAACACAAGTTAGATAGGTTTTTAAAAAAAAGGATTTAAAGACATTCATTAGATTTATTTATTTATGGGTTGTTAACATTTTTGCAGGTTATTTAAAGCCAAAAAATATTTTTACATTGTAAGAATTTTTTGTAGATAATAATGATTTACTGATACAAGTGCAACTTATTAACCCATAGCTGGAATTAGAAGGGGTAGAATCATACATTTCCTAAGGGTATTTGCGTGTAAGTGAATATAACAAACCCAACTGGAATTGGAACTTGACATTCCGATGTCCAATACCAAGCTGCTATCCATTCCATTACACCAATTCTCATCCAAAATTCCAACACCTGGTATTCCCAAGTGGTCACCCATCTAGATACTGTCCAGGCTTGATGTTACTTAACTTCAGGTATCATATGAGAACCTGTGTCTCAATGTGATATGGCCATAGGTCATCACTCATCAGTTTCTCCTCAAAAAAAAAAAAATTTAAAATTACTTCAAATTCTTATGAAGTTAAGCAATGTCGAGCCTAGTGAGTACCTAGATGGGGGACCACTTGGGAATACCAGTTGCTGTAAGCTTGAATGTATGTACGGTTTAGTGAATAATGGCTAAGAACTGGAAATCATTATATTCAATTTCATGCAAATACTCTTGGGCAAGGTATATATATCTATCTCTTCTCCCCCCCACTATGGGTCAATTAGTAGTATTTGTATCAGTAAAATCATTATTATTCCTACTCCAAATTCTTACAATCTAAAAATATTTTCTGGCTTTAAATAACCTGTAAAAGGTTGATAAGCCATAAAAAACAAGTCAATCACTCACAGCCATACTGTACTTACCATTCCCCATTACTTATTCAACAGGATCTAGATGCCACCATAGGCATCCTTTATCCAAGAATAATCACATTTCTAGCAAAATCTAGGAGCCAGCATAATTACCCCATATCCAGCTGATGCTAAGTACCATCACAGGTACCTCTTAGCCAATAGCAATTACTTTCAGCGCAACTAAATTTTGTTCAACAGACTCTAGGTAGCATCAAAGGTAACCTTTGTCTAATATAACTTTGCCAGCAAAATCTTGGTGCCACTACAACCAACCTTTGTCCTGTAGACTATAGATATTATCACAGGTATTCAGTCAGTCAGTTATATGCCATGCGTGATACATGCTTAGGCCATCATATATCTTTCGACACCTGACAAGGCAAATTTTTTCCCACAGTAGGTTGCCATTTCTTTCTGCGGTAGACCAGTTGCCATCCAAGGCTATAGAACTCAGTTTGTCCTGCTATTTACACATAGCTGGGAGGAGAAGAGGATTCATACCTTTCTCAACGGTATTAGCACGTAATGGATTTGACTGGAATTCAAACTCAGCTCTCCTCAATGTGAGCCACTATCTATTACTCCACTACTTGTTCCATAATAATAGTATTTCTAGCAAAATCTAAGTGCCAGCTGAGTCTCTGGACAATTTGCAGGCCTTAACTGTTGGATATCTCTCATTTTGAATAAAGTCTCAACAAAAAAATAGTCTTTTCTGATATCTAAAATGGTTTCTTTCCTCAGTCTCTGATTTTCTAAAAAAAAAATAAAAAGAGGGGGGGAAATGAGTTTTTCTAATCACTTTTCGAGTCCAACATAAGATTACAAATGCTTTATATCTTATGTCTTAGAGCCAGTGTTGTCACAACATAGATCTCTCGTCAGGTCCTATCACTTCTTGCTTGTGGAACTCTCTTTCAGCTCCATGCTTTCCAGCCAACTTTGATCTTTAAAAATCTAAATGCAATGTAATGCAGCTTCTTTGTGCCTTTTCTATAAATATTTTCATGATAATTGCTTGGATAATCTCTTCACTGTGGTACATAGACTATATGAATTTAAATGCAATATTAGAGTGGCAGTAACGTCCCATCAAGTTATAATTGAAGTAGCTAGATGTAATTGTGAGTTCTATGCTAACAGTTTCTTCTCTCACAATTCTTGCTTATCGAACTCTCTTCCAAGTTCCATGCTTTCCGCCAACTCTGGAAAGTAACCCTTGGGTCTTAGTGGCTTTACTGCCTTGCATGGGGTGAAATGGTTTAAAAAAATATGTGCATGTTTTGATGGACTCTCCCATCATATTTGACATATGAGGGCAAAGAAGTTCAGTTCCTAGGAACAGACAGCCACAGAAGGACTCTATCAAGGTTGGAGAGGAGGATTGTGCAGCTCCAGCCCATATATGGCAGCAGGATGCTATTTTGGATCTAATCTGACTCTTGTAAAGATGAAGCATGGCAGAAGGACTCTATTAAGGATGGAGAGGATTGTGCAGCTCCAGCCCATATATGGCAGCAGGATGCCATTTTGGGTCTAATCTGACTCTTGTAAAAGAGCTAGATATGTGAATTATCAGTCTTCTAAAGAGGTTACTATACGTCTAAAAATGTCAGAAGATAAAATTTATACCAATTAGTAAACGTTTTTTAATGTAGAAATCTAAATTCACTTTCAGTATATAATGTTGATTAGTCAGTTGCTCTTATACAAAAGAAAACCATGGTTAATCAATTTTCAGCACACTGTTAGAAATTTTCTTTGTTCACAGATGTTTTTGCAGTACTTGCCAGATTGGGAGCCTTCTGAAAACTCAGCACTACTAATTTTTTAAAATTTTATTACTTTGTGACTTTAGAAGCTATTTTTGAATTTTAAATGTCTTTGTGTAATTTTTTAATTTCTCTATTTTTTACTTTTATAAATTACTTTTAAAATAAGCTTTTAATCATCCTTTTTATCCTATACCAGTATGGCTGATGCTAACCCCCAAAAGAGTGAATCACTGTGCCTTCTTGGACTCAGATTTTCAGCTGACATGAAGTAGAAAGATTATATTGAATCAATTTCTAAGTCTGCAGCTAAGAAAATTGGTTCACTATGTCTTGCTAGACAATTTTTCTCACTAGAATTTATCTTACATATTTATAAGCCTATCATCTGTAATGTTATTGATCCTGACCTGGCATCTTGGCTTCAGTCCCTTTCCCATTGCTATAACATGGCTTCCCTCTGCCTTTTCTATAAATATTTTCGTGGTAATTGTTCTGATGAACTTTCCGTTATGGTAACTAGACTTCATGAATTTAAGAGCAGTACTAGTTTAATGGCAAGGTCACATCATTTTACAATTGAAATGGCTAGATGTCTCACAATTCTCGATTCTTGAACACTTTTCCAGCTTCTTAGTCAACACTGATCTTCAAAAATTTAAATGCAATGTCAATCGTTATTTTCTGTCTTCTTAATTCTTGTTCTTTTATTGTCTTCTCTCCTTAATAGTAGTTTTTCTCATATTCTCTAACACCCAGTAACCCCTTGCGTCCTAGTAGCTTTATTTCCTATGATCTTCAAATATTTTAATGCAATGTCAATCGTTATCTTCTGTCTTCTTAATTCTTGTTCTTTTATTGTTTTCTCTCCTTAATAGTAGTTTTTCTCATATTCTCTAACACTCAGTGACCCCTTGCAATCCTAGTGGCTTTATTGCCTTGCTTGGGGGTGAAATGATTTTAAAAACAAATGCTGGACAAACTTTGGTTTCTCATGAGGAGAAAGAACTTAATTAAAACTTTAATAACACTGAGCTTTCAAATTTAACACAATCTGATAATTACAATGCATAAAAACAAAAAGAATATATTTCTGTAGACATGGAAAACCTCATAGCAACTTTGATATTAATGAGAAGGAAAATTAACTGTTATAATTGAATAGTGTTCCCTTCACCAGAATACAAGCAAGCGGTAAAAATGTTCACAATTATGACAATAAGTGAAAACTCATACGACAAAACAAGATGGGTGAGAGAAGGAGAAAAAATAAAAATCTATAAATGGAAAAGAAAAAAAGATTTTGTATTCTAAAAGGACAAATGGGATGTGAAAATTAAAAAAAAATATTGAAGAGTAAATAAATTTAATTAAAAAAAACAAAAAAATCTGATATCTACATGTAAATATTTACTATATGAAGAAAGGTGATGTTTATTATACTTGGGAAGTGGTACTGAAGAGTTTTTAACCTGACCAACAGACATTTGGATTTTTGATAAGATTTGGGGAAATAGGTTGGCTTTTGAACTTTTCATCACTCATTCTGTATAGACATACTCAAAAATTTTATATATATATATATATATATATATATATATATATAAAAACCTAGTGAGCCAGACAATTTGTCTGGCTCACTAGCTTTATCTAGGTCTGCTCTACGGCTGTATTGAGCTCTTTTGCTAGTTAGTTGTTTACTCGTATTGGGGTTTTTTCTTTGGGCTTCAAACCTGTATCTGTGCGATTTTTTTTCAACAGACTTTCAGGTTTCTAGCTCTTTCTTTTTTTAAAACCTTTTTTCCCTCAAGATTGATTTGATTATTGCCAAATCAAAAATTTGAGGGTTTTTCGAAACGAGTATAGTTATCTATATTTGTAAATATATATATTGTCCCTCACTGATAGCACATTTAATATTTACTATATATATATATATATATATATATATATATATATATATGCACACACACACAGTTTCATTAAAAATGACTAACAAGGTACTGCATTTTATGTGTTATAATTTTTTTTTTCTGAACATAAATTATACAGAAATTGTACAAATTGTAAATTGTAATATTTTGTATGTCCGAGCACTTTTGTCTATACTTTTAGCCATTATCAAGGATGAATTTTATTTTTTACTTTTAACTGAATGTATAGATTGTTTTATGTATTTATCTAGAATTATAGGAATGTTTTATTTTCCAAACATGGTCAACACATTGTGGCTGTGTTCATAGTTGATGTTATTGTGTACTCACTTTTTATTTTTTATTACTAATGTATGTATTATTTTTAGTCTTTTCCACATGTGAATGAAGCTATTATCAGCATATTTTCTAAGAGTATGTTGCAGACTGTGTTTGGTAGGTTTGTGTGTGTGTATTTAAATGAGACCTAATTGAGCTAGGGTCAGATAGATGTAACATGAGACTTCTTGTTGGGCATGTTGTAATATATCCAATATAATTGCGAATTTATACTATATATATATATATATATATATATATGAGGGTAAGTAAAAAATTATTCACACTTTCACCATAACATATCTTTAGACAAAAGTGTAGATAATTTTTGACTTTCCCTCATCACCCAATGGATTGAGCCCTATAGGTCACTGGCACGTTTAGGAAAAAATAAATACACAAAAATTTGCCTCTCTGCTGAGCATTGATAGACTAGGATTTGGATTAATTTAGATTAATTTATTTTACTTGTTTTTTTATTATTTATTATACTGCATATTTTTATTTACTCTTTTTGATTTTTAAGTAACAGTATTTTTTTTATCATTATATAACAGTTATAGCTGTTTTTCGTTTTATAGTCT